CACCCCCGGGACGCCCCGCCCCTTGGATGCCCCGCCCCTGGCCGCACCACCCCCGCCCACCTGGCTGTCGCCTCCCGCAGGCCGAGGAAGGACGTGCCTCACAGGTGCAGCGCGCACTTCGACGCAGTGGCCCAGATCCGCGGAGAAGCCTTTTTCTTCAAAGGTAACTGGTGGCCGTGAGACTGCAGCGGGCGGTTAGGGGCGCGTCCTCCCTGGGCCGGACCCCAGACCCAGACGGGCCTGCAACCGCGCTCCCTGCCCCTCCAGGCAAGTATTTTTGGCGGCTGACCCGGGACCGGCACCTGGTGTCGCTGCGGCCGGCGCAGGTGCACCGCTTCTGGCGCGGGTTGCCGCTGCACCTAGACAGCGTGGACGCCGTGTACGAGCGCACCAGCGACCACAAGATCGTCTTCTTCAAAGGTGGGCCTTCCCCGCCGAGCGCCCCCCCCACCACGGGGCCCGGGCGGGGCAGAGCTGGAGCCACGCCCCTGAGCAGGCACACGTGCTGGCCCCAGGGGGCGCCGTGGGCCCTTCGTTAGGAGGAAGTGCGAGGGCCAACAGGGCGCCTGTGGGCGGCACAGCCTCCTGCGGAGTGACCGGGGACAGGGTTCGCGTCGAGGTCATGGCGCAGAGGCCCCAGAGGCGGGCCAGGGATGGAAGCCGAGCAGCCCGCTGACCTGGGGCCCGTTCCACCGAGAGGGACCCTCCACCCTCTCGCGGCTCCTGGGGCCAGGGACTGCAGCCAAGCCTGCTCCCGGAGCGCCTGTGCGTGGGGATGGGCCAGGAAGCAGGAGCCACGGGGGCTGAGGGCTGAGGAGGGGCTTGGGGGCCTGTGAGGCTTCTGCAGCCCCACGCTGACTGCTGTGCTATGTGTGGCCATGGGTTCTGGGGTGTGCGATGGGCACCAGGGGACCCCGATGAGGTCCTGGGCTGACGTCCTCCCCGTGGACTCCCAAGACCGTCGCGGTTGGGGACCCTAGCCCACCGGAAGTCCCGCCCCCCGCTGGCAGCGCGCACTGGCGCCCATGAGCACTGCCTAAGGCCAGGCTTCCCTTCGAGTGGGCCCTGTTCCATGCTTTCTCTTATGTTAGAATTTAAACACGAGAAACTGTAAAGGCTGGGTGCTGCCCCGTTAGAACCCAGGTCTCCAGCGGCCCTGTGCACTGAGTCCGACCGGCTGTTTCAAGCCAGCTGCCCCTCCGGCGTTCACCCTGCCTGGCACCGCAGGACTGAGCACGGTGTCCAAGGCCTTGATCGTTGGATGGGCACAGGGGTTCCCCTTCGCGTGGAGGTTTTTCTCTTTCGGAAGTGGCGAAGCCGGCAGCGTATGGTGTGCCCTCGGGCCCGCCAAACAAGTGCCACGGGCCTGGAGCTGGAGAGGGGCCTGCGTGCGCACGCGCAGCTCTGGAGGCGGGGCCAGAAGCAGGTGTGGGCGGGGCTCGCTCTGCTGCCTCCTGCGGAGGAGCCTCCCGTGTCTCCTCCGACTTCTGGTGGCCACAGATGGGCTTGTGGCCGCATCACTCCAGTCCGAGGTCATTGCCTCTGTGTGTCTGTGTCCTCTCTTCTTTTGAGGACACCAGTAACTAGAGTAAACCCACTGCCGTGGAGTCGATTCTGACTCACAGCGCCCCTAGAGGACAGAGTGGAACTGCCCCACAGGGTCTCAAAGGTTGTAGTCTCTACGGAAGCTGACTGCCTTGTCTTTCTATCGTGGGATGGTTGGTTGGTAGATTCAAGCTGCCAAGCTTTTAGTTAGCAGCTGAGTGATTTAACCTTTGTACCACTAGGGCTCCTTAGTCATTGGATTAAACCAAACCAAACCCACTTCCATTGAGTCAATTCTAACTTACACTAGCCCTGTAGGACAGAGAAGTGCCCCATACGGTTTCAGAAGCTCTAAATCTTTATGAAGCAGACTGCCACAACTTTCTTCCTCCCAGCAGCTGGCAGGTTCAAACCAATGACGTTTTGGTTGGCAGCTGAGCACTTTAACCAGTGCACCACCAGTACTTCTTAGTTACTGGATTAACTCCAGAAGCCAAACTCACTGCCATCGAGTCATTTCAGACTCATAGCAACCCCCAGTGGGTTTCTGAGGCTGTAAATCTTTATGGAAGTAGATCACCCCACTTCCTTCTGCAGAGCAGCTGATGGGTTTGAACCACTGACCTTCTGGTTAGCAGCCAAGTGCTTTATCACTGTGCTGCCAGAGCGTCTAGGGCCCCTTAATTCGGAATGGCCTCATTGAAACTGGAGTAATCCTGCCAACAAAAACCCTATTTGCAAATAAGGTCTTGTGCAGATTTGGGGGATGCTAGTCCACCCACTCCAGATGTTCCCACAAAAATAGGAGAGACTGTGTTTCTTTGAAGAGTAAAGAATGTTCCAGCGTCTTTATTTTGCATCAGGTTCCACTCCTTTCCTGACCCGCCAGGCTCCCAGGCATGGAGCTTGGTGACCCTGAACCAGCCATGAACTGTCAGAGCAACTACTCCTGTGGCCACTGGGGGGCATGCGTTTTCTCCCAAAGGCCCACCATGGGTGGCTTCTAGGTGCTGCCCAGGCAGACCCTATGCTGTTTCCACACCATTAAGAAAAGCCCAAAGCCCACGAAGCTGCAGCTCCCTTTCCCCCTCCCCTCCCTCCCTGGTGGCGGCAGCAGTTGGGTCCCTTGGAGCCGGTTCTGACTCAGTGACTCACGTACAACAGAACACAACACTGCCCTGTCCCACACCATCCTCACAGTCACTGCGGTGCTGGATGGAGCCCATTGTTACAGCCACTGTGTCAGTCCATCTCACTGAGGTCTCCCCTTTTCACTGACCCTGTACTTTACCAAGCATGGTGTCCTTCTCCAGGGACCGGCCTCTCCTGATACTATGTTCACCCCTGGTAACTACTAGTAATTCTAGGTTTCTTTCCATTTGTTTATTTCCTGTAAGTGAGATTATATAGTATTTGCCCTGTTGGAACCAACTAATTTCACTCGGCATATTGCAGGGCTCATCCGTGTAGTGGCCTAAGTCATCTTCCATTGTGTGTGGACCATCACCGGTTCACTGGGTAGTTTTAGGGACGGAGGGTGGCAGACCCCTCTGGTAGTCCTGTGGTGTGCGCCGGGCCTCTGTGGCTCTCTCTGGGAAGGCTCCGTTGTGTGGGCCACATTGTGTGGGTGTGGCGCTCTGCTGGTGGACGTTTAGCTGACCCACCTTCTGGCTGGGGAGCAGTGCTGCAGAGAGCCCTGATGGGCAGCTTGCTTGCCTTCCCGCCCCCTGCTTTTCACCTGGCCATGTCTCCCAGAGCATCCTCTTCCTTCCACTTTTGCTGTGAAGATAAATCTGATCTACATCTGCGTTCACCACTGGTTAACGCTGTCTTCCACTTGCTTGCTTGTTCCCTGAGCCGGTGAAGTAAGCCACAGACACTGGCCTGCATGTGTCTCCTGAGCTCAGACGCGGGGTTGGCACTGCACGGCGCTGTCGCCTAACCTGCACGCTGTGTCTACACTACGCCGCTTGCCTTGACCGTGTGCTGCAGAGCTGTGGCCAGGACCACACAGACCGTCCCAGCACCTCGTCAGTGCCTTCAGTCTGGGGCAGTACTCTCCTCCGGGGTCCCCCTGGCACACGAGCATGCAGTCCGGCGGCTGTCACCCAGCTCAGTCTGTGGCTTCCCTGTGGTCAAGGGGTACCGCAGAGGTGACGTCGTCTCCACCATCCTCTTGAGGGCACACGCTGCCTCACACCTAGACCAGGGTGTCTTTTCCACTGGAAAGCTAGGAGCCCTCGTGTACTGAGTCCCACGTTGCTTCTGGGGAGAC